TGACTCGCCTTCTTTGTGTATCTTCGGTAATCCGTATGCTGTTGGTGGTCGTGCATCCTTTCTTATGATTAAATTTCTTACCCATACGTCAATTTCCCCATTCCTATGCATATCTTTCAGTATAGCACTTAAGATTCCATTGATCTTCATAGTTTTGTCCTTGTTTAATATACGATATGTGGTCCTGTCTCGTAGAATATGTTCCATCGTCTCCATATATTGTTTTTTGTCCATTATCACTGTAGCTCCTCCTTTGTCCGCCTGAAACACTAATTCTTCATTCGTTTCCAGGGTTTTACGTATCACGGTAAATCTGTTCTTTTGTGTAGGCTCATGATGTGTCAAGATCTTTGCAATTAGTTCCATCTCCATTTCCCGTTTTGTCTCTTCAGGGAACTTTTCTGTGGTATTGATAACCTCCACCAGGATGTCTCCTAGAATGCTTCTCTGATGGTGAATTGAAAAATGGAGTCCTTTTTCCAAGAACGCTGCTGTTTCGGGATTGAGAGTAATTGATTATAAGTTTAATACTTTCTTCCTATCCTCGTGCTGATCAGTAGGTGTTGTAACATAGGAAGCCATTTCAACTGGGCGTACTGGTTTTAAATTAGGTTGTCGTCATTTACTAGAAATCCACTTGAAATGCCGCATGATACCAGATATAGGCGTTCACAGTTTGCTCAGATAACATGGGTTTAATCAAGGACAGGACCCGTGAAGGGAAGGCCTGATATCTGTAAGCATGGCAATCAGAGCTTAGGCGCTCTAAACAGTCAAGTGGCAGTGTATCTGCTTCTAGGGCCTTGAAAAATAGCGCCAGGAGTGAAATGCACACAGGGACTGGAACCAAGTGAAATAAGTCAACCAGAAAGATAAGGAATGGATTGATGAGACCTGAGTCGGATAAGCCGATACAAAGAGATGGGTCGGGGTAAATAGCAAGTGTGATGAGGTCAAACTAGATTTGCCACAAAAGGGCACACATTTTGACGAGTGGAATGTAAACAAGTGAGTTGTGATAAGGCAGGAGTTGGATAAGACGGTTAAGCGTAGATAGCTAGGCCAGGACAGAAATATGAGTGATAATGTAACCGTTTTCGGCAGAACGCTTGTCGAGGGATTGACTTCACTCGTCTCCTTCGTAGCTTGGTGTGAAGAATTGCAAAAGCCACTGATGATGCCGACTACGATGCAGGCCAAACGTTTGAGAATGTACCAAGTCCACCGTCTGATGCTGGGAATCATGACAATTACTATGCCAGACGACTTCGGACTAGGTGCGTCCTATTAAGTCACCCTGACAACAAGGCCAAGTTGCAACAACAGGGTCAACCGACTTCTATAAATCGAAAGGAAACTGCGAGCATACCAGAGGCCACAACATCTTGGTCTTCATATCTTCAATTAAGATATTTATATTATGTGAAAATAATTTAGCACCAAAAAAACGATTGCTTTCACTGTGGCTCAGCGCGTACGCCAAATGTCTATACCTAAAACGATAATCTTCGCAGTTCACGCATGCTCTGCTTTAAAGTATTGAGTCATGAATAAAAATAAAGATGTTTAAAGATATTCGATTTTTCATGATAACATGAAAAATAAGGAAAAGCACAAAGTTACTTTTGACTCTGGATTCAACCACATTCTTTTTTAATAAATAAGGGGAAAATTAGATATTTGAAGAGGCCATGAACACAGCTTGCTCATACCCGGGTATAAAAATAAATAAATAAACATATATATGTAATATTTAGTCATTAGTTTTAAGAATCTACTCTGTATAAACAGATAAAAAGGTTGAATAAAAGTAATTATTCAGCTCATTTTTGGCCGTTTTCTTCGGAAGTCGAAGGAAAACTCATCTTCACTCTTATCAACTCTGGCATCACCTTCAGCTATATCGCTTGCACCTGCTAAAGAAGCATCATAGTCATCGATCATAGAGTTTCCTTTAAGTTTGCGTCGTCTAGTCCTGCTGGACTCAGGGACGCGGGTAGGTTCGTAAGAATTTTCAATTGTATTGCGACTGCTGTTAGCTCCGCCTCTACGGAGTGAGGCTCTTCGTCTGCCTGTTCCGCGACCCCGGCTCCTCGAATTTTCAACCACCTCAGACATCTCAAGCTCTGGTGACGATACGAGATTCTCAGTTTGAGTTGAGAGATAATCCGCGGCCTGAGTGCCAGTGAGGCCTGAAAGGAAAGGTGAGTCGGAACTAGAATCATCCTCGACTATGTCAAAAATGTCGACGCATCGGCTAGCCTGAGTCGAAACCTGAGAATCGAAGTCATTAGATGCAGTTTGCCGACTTGAAGCTGAAAATCGAGAGTCACTGACAGAAGCTGGTTTCCTATTTGCGCGGCCGGACCCAGACTTTGTAGCCCCCGAAAAAATGCGCATCGCAGCCTCTGCCGATGGCCGTCGACCACTGCTAGAGAACTGGAAGGCATCGAGCAAGCTCACTTGGGCGGTAGGACGAGAATAGCCCGATATCCTGTTATTGCTACATTTGCCTTTATTACTAACGGTGTCAAGCCGATTGAGGTCAGCAGGGTGAAATTTCTCTACCTCGCCATCGTCGAGCTCATCAGGAGAAAACAGTTCATCTATTCCGCCAAGTTTCATAGAAGGTTTCTTAATAAAGATTAAAAAAACAATGGATGAAATAAGACTTAAGCTTAGTAACTCCTAACGAAGTGAGATAAATGTAAAAGGTTTGAATTTCAACATCTTTTACCTAAAGCCTGAGAACAAGTGTTTTGCTTAAGCGTTTATCTATATTAGCTACACTACGCACGATGATTTTGCATGTGTATATTAACTAAAAAATTAATAAACGTTAGTAGCCCATCATGTCAAGCGTCTATCCTACTCCAAATTCATATTAGGCTAAGCTACCATGACAAATAAAAAAAACTAACAAAATCATTCTATATCTATCCAGCTAGCGTTAACGTTAGTAGCCCATCATGCCATCCAAATTCAAATTAGGCAAAACTACCATGACTAATAAAAAAGCTAACTCAACAAATTATTCCATATCTATCTTGCTAATTATATAATTTTGTATAGTAACTGTTTGACCTTGTTTTCGTAACTTGGTCATATTGGCAGGAAGACCTAGATGAACACACCTTGTCCGGAGTCCATAGTATGCATGATCATTTCCAGAGTCAGACTGTAAGCTTGGTACGTTCCCAGACGTTTCGCCGGCATTGTCAGTAAGCCTTGTCATTCTCAGCAGAACACTACAACTCGTCAAAAGAGACAAGAGGATGTCTCGTGGACTATACCAACATGGACGCCATAGTACAACCAAATGATCGAAGAACCACGAGAATTGGTCAACGTCTTCGGATGAGATCGACCAACGAATCTCCTAATCATCTACTTTCATATGTAATGAACGTAATAAACAGTCTTGTCTTAAGAGATTTATCGAAATCCAGATACTCGTCGTAGCTACAAACTAAAACTATATCCAGTAAACCTAATTTTCGAGAATTTTCGAATACATTTTATAGATCAAGATGCTACAAAGTTATGCAAGCATGTGGTAACGTCAATGTAAATAAGACCCACCGACCTAGTATTTAAATTAAACATAAAACCGCCTGGGTACAAAAGTCCCAGCTAGCCGAACAAATGATTAAAACAGGACACAAAAAATAATGGTAAAAAACACGGCGTTGTGCAACCTAAGGCAATTTTACATCCAAGCGTTATGTTAGTTATCGTAGATATGAAGACCGGGATAGCGTAGCCTTTTGTTTAGTCACAATCTTCCTTGAGAGAGTCTATATAAATAAAAAAACAGCCAATATCCCGAATAGGAATCATCGTGAAAAGTGATTACAAACTATTTGTGGCTGATAGATAGGCTTAAGGAGAGGCAGGAGACAGAGCTTCAAGTTTGTTTAAAATTCATAATTCGTATAAATTGAACATTTCATACATACAATAGACAATAGACAATACCAGATAAATACATAAAAATGGTAGGATCATACGATGGAATGTTTAAGCAATGAAATAATTGCCACTTCCTCTTCAGGTACCAACCTCCTCCAAGAAAGTATTGCAAGCATGAAATAGCAAACCAAATCATGGAATGCCTCATTGGCATTGCAAAGTTAGGTATAAATGAGTGTGATTGTAGTAGACATATTTCTTAGCTTATTATTTCTTTTACGTTTTTTCATAAATAACGGATTACCATCCTGACGACGTCGTCACATGGTAGACGAAAGATGAATATGAGTTCATTGAGATCGTAGGACGGTAAGCCGAGGATTTGTTAGCACAATCAAACAGCATTCACTCCAAGGAAGTCTTCCTTCGGTTTCTGGTGAGACCACTTCGCAAATACCTTCCAAATAAATTTTACTTATACATAAAATGTCACAATAAATAACACTGGCTACATAATAAAGGAAACCTAAAAAATCTAGATTCAAAAAATCAACCAGAGAGAATTAATTAAATCATACCCGGCTTTTCAGCAGCGGCTTCAAATCAGTCTCTACTTCTTCATTCCATAAGATAGAGGGTGACGCTTTGCTTGATTTCACCAAAGAAGCATCACTCTGATGACCTTGGGTCTCGCTTGGAGAGATGCTGGTTTCCACTGGTTGATTTGAGCGCATACATGAATCTGCTATTTAGAGAAAATAGAAATATGTAAGTAGAAGTGAGCCACAATTCAATTATCTGAATATTCAAAAATGTAAATTAGAGGTCACAAGATAATTAGGAAGTACAAGGCAAGTATATGAAAGACAATGGGTTCATTTTAACTTAGTAGTATGTTTCTGACCCCGCTGATGAGTAATATTTAATGATGAATGAAATCATAGAGTTGCCTCAACAGAATACTTAAGAGAGGTGCCCATAGCCTGCATTAAAATATTCGACAGCTTCATTAATCAGAGCGTAGCAGCCTATATTTTGGCACTAATAATAAGCTTTTCACTTTACGTGACAGACGGATCCAAAACTATACATTCTATTAAAAATAATAAAAATTCACATCTATATTAGTCATCCAATCACGAGTAAATCCAGAAAACGAATGAATCAGCTTTAAAAGCCCGTTTGGCTTCTTGACTTAAAACGTAAAACTTTTACAAGAATGAGTTCCAGCTCTGATTATGTCCATCAGCCTGAAAGCTTAGGCCGTTCTCATCCGAAAGGTGGGAGGAGGTCTTGTGGGCAGGGTCAAATTGCTGCTTTTTGGAACACTAAAAAAAATTAATTTTCATATATACTAGAGTTTCGAGACTAAAAATTTATACAGGGAAACAATTTTTGAGCAAAGAATCCCAC